CCGCACAAATGTCCGTATTCCAAGAAAAGGAAAAAAAAACAAAGAAAAAGTGTAGAGGCGGAGGAGAGGGGGGGACTTGTGGGGCCCCGCCCTCCTTTCAATAATTTTAAAATTTTTTTTAACATATTTTTATTTTTTTAAATCTTATAATTTTATCCCTATAATATTTTTTATTTGTTAAGATATCTAACAATAATTAATTTTAATAAAATTAAAATAAAATTTATTATTATAAAATTATTCTCAAATCCACTTATTTAAAACTTTACAACCACCTATCTCTTTTTTTATTTACTAAAGACTATAAAAAAATTAATTTTTTTACACTTTTTTGCTTATTAGTATTTTCTGTAAAAAAAATTTATAACTCAATTTTTATATCATGATAATTAACAAAAAATCATGTATCAATCAATGAATCAAATATTTGAATGTTTGTTAATTTTTATTTATTATTAAGAGTATTTAGAAATTAAAATTGTTATCATTATTAAATTATTTATAATTGTACTAATTAATTTTTTTAAGTAAATTATTAATATGGACTCTTTTGAATAATTTTTAAAATTTATTTATATAACTTTTATATAAATTTTTTATCTAAATTATTTTATATTTTTGTCTAACAGTGAACTTCTAGTATAATTGTTAAATACATATTATTTTCAATTTTTCATTTCTTCAAATATGAAATCTTAACTCCACTATTGATAAAATGAGATATATATATATGAGATTACATTATAGTAATCATAGTCGGAAAAGAACAAATCAATTGGTTTTTGTCGAATAGTGCACGAAATTTAAGGTAAGTAATCAAACAAAGATATGGAAAGATGATGAATAAAATCTCTTAAATTTGTTCAAGCTTTTTTATTTGTTTGAAAATTAAATTATATTCACTCAGAGGAGACCAAAGGTTCGCCTCTAAAAGAAGTAGGAAACAATTCAGACTGGTCACTCCCAAAAGAAGAAGAGGGACTGGTCTGAATCGTTCTCAAAAGCTTTGACCACAAGGAGAAAAACACCCTTGGGCATTCTTTTCTCTGCCCGCAGCAATCAACAGCTAAAAGCTCTAATGCACATCGTCAGCAGATTTACATCACTAAGCAAAAAATACACGAGACCTATGACCAACGCATCAAATGCTTGATCGTAGAATTCAAAGCAACTTCTATACATACAAAAGAACCTGCACAAAGACACACCCCAATAATCTAAAACCCCCATCCATCTGCCTGAGCTCATCATTGCATAAACCGTCTTGATCCCCAAGAACCCATCATAGGAAGGCACTGATCAGAACCACCTTCCCCCATGGATGAAGCAGAAAACATAAACGCCCATTTCGCTTCTGCTAGAATTCACCTTAACTGAAAAACCCAGAGTTTTCATTTCTTTCTAATTTGTTGTCATTTGACTGGCAACCACTTGCTAAGAGAAACAAGAAGCCAATCTTCTAACCCAACCATTTACAGTAGTTAATTGCTATATGAAATAACAGCTAGGGAGAGAGAGGCGGAGTCAGGGAAACCAAAAGCAAACGTCTCAGTCTAAGCTCGTAGAAGACCATGTCATGGACAATCCAGAAAGCTCGCACACTGTTGATCAACATATCTTTCTGCGTCCAACGTGGAGAAGTTTTGGTTAAAATGTTTCCATTAAAACTAAATAAGAAGTTCCGGTAGAATATCTTGATATCTTAATTAGGTCAGAATAAGGCAGATATTTGCAAATGAAAAACATGCATATTTGTTTCCCAAAAACTTCCAAAGCAAATGGGGGACATGGATATGGACGTTGCTGAAGGCGAATACACATGCATGAAACACGGTGATGAGATGGATCTTTTTGTACCAAAAAGATGTTGTGAATTGGCATGTGAAGATGCTATAAGGACAAAATGTACACACATATAATGGCAAATTGGTAATAAGAGAGAAATAAGATCAAGGAAGTGCACTAGGACATCCAGCTAACATGAGAAGGAATCTAAATATTACAAGGGAAAAGTGTATAAAGTACTGCACCATATATGCATGGGACTTCTTACTGCTAGGAATCTATATAGGGCCTGGTTTGATTCATTGTAAACTTCCCATGTTTGATCTTGGCCCCCCTATTATGAATCGAAGGATTAATGAATGAAACGTTATAGGAATGGGGTTGCTTTAATTTGTCCTTGAAAAAGACCAGGGAGACGAGGGCTGTTTAGATCTTTCTGGATGCCAAATGTCATCTAATTTATGTTCCCGGAATGGCAGGCAGGGCCTCTTGGTTATTTCTCAATTCTAGGACAACTTGGGATTCACCTAAAATATCTCACACCGCAAGCTATATAAAGTTAATCCAGGGATTAAGCTAGATTTTTATACCAAGTTTTAGGCGTGCAAGTTCCAACCTTATAGTATATCATTTAAAAAGGACATTTGGTTTTTTGTGAGCCAAAAGAGTCGGAGCTGCCCAAAATGCTTCAAGAGTGAATTTCACATGAGAAATAAATTTCATTAATACGCCAAAAGGGAATGAACAGTACAATCTTTGGCAGATGGATGGGTCGGCCACGTAGCAGACATGTTAGAAGGTTCCATATGGTGCCTTTCGACATGAGATACCCGTTTTGATATATCCAATACAAATGCTAAGCAAAAGCGCGTCAAAGCCCCACCATTTTTTTTTTTTTTAAGCCAGGCCTCCTCCACCATTCGTTTTAGTTCTCGTCATCTTTCCATATTGTTTGGCTCCTTTCCCCAGGGAGATGCCTTCAATGAGTAGTAGCAAACAACGAAGCGGTATGATAACTTTATTTGCTTTAACTAACCACGTAGCACTGACAGGTAACGGATGGAACAATATCAGTCTCTTCAAAATCCCTCATGAGAAGCTCCAAGTGCTTCACAATCAACAAATTCTGAGACCAGACCTTATGGCCACGAATTTCACTGGTTCACATTCGTCCCAGAGCTGATCCAGCAGGATTTGCATGAACATCTGAATACCAAGACACTTGAATTTTTGCTCTGAATTTTCCAGAGCGTTCCATTGTCATTTTAGATATGACCACTTGCCTCTATCTTCATGCAACTTGCTTTAACCTATCTCACTCTATTTCAATTCACGATATCCTAGGACAGCAACGAGGACATGATGAGTAGCCATGTGAGAGAACAACCAGCTCTTTTAGTCCAAGTACTACATCAGGAAAGCAGACAATAAAGCAATATCCCAATTTGAAACATTACACTTACACATCAGCTTTCAGATGGGCAATAATGGAGGGAGTTATGCTGTTACGGTGAAGATGTCATACACGTCCATACCAACAGCAATGCAAAACAATTATAGTGGGAGACGGCACCTCAACTAGCAAACTTTACCTCAGCTTCTATCAGGAATCATTCTCCATATACAAACTCTTGATTGCAGATCCATAGTCCTCTCCCATTATGGTGTCAATCAGTCACTGAGGATCTATCTCCAAATTAATCATGTTTGACCAAGAATTAACTGCAGCATACAACCAAATAAATGAACAATATAAGCACCTAGGCAATGTGCATGTTAGATCTAAAACATTTTGACTAGGAAAAGGAAATTTTTAAGCAACATCTGTTATTTGTATTCACCATTTACCATCCATCCAGACTAGGTTATCATTGCACCCACTCAAAAATGAAAATCTAACAGTTTTGCTCATCAATTCATTTGTCAATATTGTTGAAGCTGAACAAAAATGACAATACTCAAGATAGAAAAAGAAGCTGGGTCCATCACAATATCCTAGCACCCCTGCGATAGGAATTCCTCATGTATCCAATCACCTTACCCTTTGACTTAATCACACAATTCCATTGAATCTCTACAACGTTTCAAGAATTCTTTTTCAGCTCCTGCATATGTTTCAAAGTAACTTTGCTAGAAAATGGTCTATATAGCAATGTTTGACGCTTCCCATCATTTCTATGACATGATACCATGGAGTTTAAATTTAGACATCATAGGATGTACCAAACTTCATTAGCAGCTCTAAAACATACAATGAAATATTAATCTTGCCCCATAAAAATTCAAATGTGTTAATGCAAAAATTTGGTCAACTAAGGATGGAAATAAAGGAAAGTGTTAGCATGCACTTGCAACCCCACCCCAACGCACCCGCACCCAAAGAAGAAGAAGAAGAGTTTCAGGTTTACCATTTTTAAGCCATTGAACTTCAAAGAGAAAGTTCCCAGCATCAGAGAATTTAGTATATGTCTTCAGAACCATATCTACAGTAGTCTGACACTGAACAACATGATTATGCAAATGTTATTCACACTGAGGTGAATGGCATCCACGCTCAACAAACCGTAGCATGAGATTATCTGCCTCTGCAGATT